TTTTCCCCTTTCTTCTAAGCTACCTCTCTGATAATAAGGCATGGTTTTACTCCAAAAGCCTGATGTTAAAAATTCAACCAAGTAAATTTGAGGATTTTGTTTGTTTTATTAAAGGATTTATAAATCTGGCAGTACCTGAGCTAGCAAACAGAATGGAACTCTGAGGAGCTGTATAAATTGGAAGGCTTTTATAGGCCAAAGAATGATGGGGAAAGGAAGTCAAAAGAGCAGATTCTTTCAAGCAAGATCATCTTCTCTTAGGGAAGTCTTATCAGGCCAATTACCTCGCTAGTGCTAATGAGGAAATTCCAGATTGACTGGTTAAAAGTCACAATCCTGAGAAAGGCTGAAAATGCAATTAATTCTTCCTTGCCAAACATAGGGCTTAGCACAAGTGAGTCCATTTTGGGCCTGCTGTTTCTTGTTAACCCTGGAATTTCTAGAATCTCAACTAAATGCTTGATGCGCTCCTAAAATGCTCTTGGTATTTTCCGCTCTGGCTGGGTGAAAATTTTACCAGTCACAGTAGATAAAGAATTACTACCGGTATCACTACCCCAGCCTCAGCTTAACTGTAGGTTAGCACAACTGGGCCTTTCAGAGTCTGGTCGGTGGGTATGCAGCCCAGCCCTTGGCCAGACACCCATGGTGAAGCCCTGCTCAGTATTTTTGAAGTTTTATGCAAAGCTTTTCTCTCTCTGCTACTATTTTCCCACAAATCCTAGAAACTTTAGCTATGAAAACTCTGATTTTTTCCTCCTCATTTCAGTAGGACTGTTGTTTCCCTTGTATTCCATCTTCCTGTACCATAGTAGTTAAAGTGCTCCTATTGAGAAATCTGGTGTGTGCATGAGCTTTCTTGTTATGATCCAACTCCTCCTATTTATCAATCGTTGGAAATAGTCATGTCCTAATTTTTTTAACTTTATATTTCTTTGTAGTAAGAGAAAAAGTCTGGTACCAATTATCCCTTTATGCTTGGAAGCGGATTCTCCTCACTAGTTACATTTTCATTTAAGTATCATGTTGAATGAGAGGATCTTTATAAACCATATGTCCAACGTTACATACAGTGAGCAAAAAAAGCTATGCCTTAGAAATCTTAGTTTAGTGGTGATTTTATAATGAGATACAGTAATAAAAGAGAGAAGTTTATCTGTGTTAAGAAATTCACTGAGATATACAAATGTGTGTGACAAAAGGAAGAACATATATAATCCCCAAAATAAGAAATGTCATTGAGTTAAAAAGCTAGGTGGAAATTAACTAATCAAGGTAATGAATTGGTTGGTCATAACAGATGCCTGTGTGGATATACTGCAAAATATGAAAATACTAAAAACAAAAAGAAGCTTAAAGTATTATAGATTAAAGCATAGCTGTGTTCATTGCAAAAGACTTCTTTATTTTACAAAAGAATTTATTGGAGTCTCAGTACTGTGGTGGATTCCCAATATAATTGTTTGCCAAAAGCTGATTACAATGTATCCCTGCCTTTGGATAAAAGGAAGCAAAACAACTATTTTTTTTTATTGCTGTGTTTATCTATTTTCTTACTTCAAGTGAATAGACGTAGTCCCAGGATAACTCAAGTACATCATGATGCCAGCAAAGAGGAGGGCACAAGATTGTTTCCAGGGCAACGAGCATGGGTTAGTAAATTCCTGAGTTCTTCCTTCTTGGAGAAGTTTCACTCCAGGGCTCTTGCACAGACTTCTTGCCATTCATATAATCCAGCAGGATGATATCAAGAGTTCAGGGAAATTGAGTGAGTCAAAGTCATTCAATGAATAAACTTGACTCAAAAGAACTACAGGTTATGGGGTTTGGTCTTTTATAACTTTTTAGTTTTTCTTTTGTTTTTGTATGGGACACGTACATTTATAGGGTGGAGCAAAAGTAGGTTTAAAGTTGTTTATATGGAAAACAATACAATAATTAAAAATAATAACACAATTTCTTGCTCTTCCTCTAGGGAAATGGACTTCCAGGAAGTCCAGGAAGCTCAGAGACCCTAAGAAGTTGGACCTGAGGAATCACACACCAAAGCACATCATAATTACATTATCCAAGATGAAAGATAAGGAGAGACTCTTAAAAGCAGCAAGAGAAAAGGAGACAGTTACCTACAAAGGAGTTCCCATAAGACTGTCAGCTGATTTCTCAAAAGAAACCTTGTGGGAAAGAGGTGACTGCTAGTGGGTATGGGGGTGAGGAAAAGGTTCTGGAATTAGATAATGGTGACAATTTTATAACCTTGTGATGATATTTGAAAAACACTGAATTATATACTTTATAATGCTTAAATTTGGGGAACCTGAATTAAATCTTAATAAAGCTCTTTTTGTTTTTCTTTTTAAGATTCTCAGGGTCTCCAATCCTTGTGCTTCATGGAGACTAACCTTTCAGCGCAACTGCACATGCTTTCTTGATGTCTTGCTCCAGACTTGAGTGCAGTTACTGTAAACGACTTTTGCTGAGCTCTGAGTTGGGACTCAGCTCAGGTCAAGTGGTTTCAGCTAAGTGAACCTCCTATCTGCACTGCTGCATCTTCATAGTTTATATACCAAATCTCTGAAGCCATGAGGTTAATTCTGGATTTGAGTTTTCTTGTGACTGTGTGGACAGAATATCGTGAGTGATAGAGACTTGTGGTCTTGTAATTCCCCAAGAAGAAGAGACTTCTGCTGAGAGGCAGCTCTATACTAGAATTTAGAATATAATACTGCAGTCCTTTAAATCCGCAGGAGTCTCTGAGATCTCACTTAGGTTCACCTTGCAAGGTATGCTTCCCTGATGCTCTCATGCCCTTCTAAGTGAGATGTCTCCTTTGTCTGCTGGCAGAAATACATAAAGGCCAATAGATCCTGTGGCTCTGTATTGGCATTCAATGCAGAGGTACAACATAACCATATGGCAGGCTAAAAAAGTTCATTTCAATACTTCCCTTTCTTGGTTGATAATTTATAGTAATTTGTTGTTTTATGTTGTACATGTAATAAATAACACAATTTAGAATGAGGAAACTCTTTTATTACACAGATATATTTAACAAAACCCTTTCCCGAAGAAAACAAGTGTTTTGAAATGATGCAGGGCAAATTGGAATTATCCACTATGTGTTTTGAAATCTCCACTATACAGGTTAATGAGTGACAATGAGGATTGACTTAACCACTTTGAATCTGTCACCTCAACTGCCAGGGGAGAATGACAAAAATGAGTATCAGACTTGGGTCCTACCATTAGGGCACAGATAATGAAGTCCATCTTGTTTTGTAAACAAAAATGTGTTCTACAAATATGAGTGTTATTTCCTAGTATACATACGTTTTTATTACAAAGTACTGCCATGTGTCTTTGTTGACTATGCAACTCAATGGTCACCTTCCAAACTGAGCAGGGAATCTATTATCACACAATTCTGGCAAGAACAAACTGAAATACATGTTTTCCTTTGGAGGCAGAGTTCTGTTTTAGCAAAGTGTAGTGCAATCTTTCTATTTAAATAACATGCTATTCATAGGCAAGTTGATTTGTATACTCGTATGCCTAGTTATATCTGTTGTGGATCTTACCGTTGCCCAAGGGGCTGGCATCCAGTTTGCAAAAGATATTATGCATCCATTTCAGTGGCCTGGGGTTTGAAAGCAATATCTGTTTTCTGTGAGTGTTTTAAACTTCAATCCCCTTAAAAGAAAAAAAAATCTGCAAATTAGGCGGTTAATTCTTAAAAATTTTACCCTCTTTAACATAAAGTTTTATAACACAAGTACTTTTCCTATGAATACTGTCTAAAAAATAAGGTTAAAGGAGATGCTTGACCCAAATTTTATTCTACATGGCTTACCCCTGAGTAATGGAATAGGAGCCGAACCTTCTGGATAGGAATTCCTGAAGACCACAGGCCTTTGCATCGTAGGCCTTTCTTAAATTTCCACCTTTATTGCACATCAACTCTGTGTTAGTCACTGGGCTAGTTGTGCTGGGTGTGATGTTGCAGGCAACGGTTTAACATTTAGAAGAACCTATTCTTTGTTAAAAAAAATAATAATGGTCCAGCTCAGATCTTGATAGTTTTCAGTTTCCTCATCTCTGTAATAGGTGTAATATCAAATGAAATGATAGATGAGGAAATGTTGCATAAACATTTATTTAACCAGGATATCCTGCTGGAATGTCAAAAATGTACCACGTGGTGAAGATCCTAGAATTGAACACCTCAGTAGATGAAGTTGGTTCTGTTTGCCAGGATTGCTTTGGGCACATGCTGTTTTGCATTTGAGTTATGTGTTATTTCACTTTACTAATTAATTTTTCGAAGTAAGATTATTAAACATAAGTTTTCCAGTCTAGAAAATTTGGAAAATATAGAAAACAAAATGACACACATTTTTCTGCCTCTTAATGCCCCCACTCTGAGTTAATTACTGTGAGCGTTTTGGTGAATTTCTCAGTTATGTTTCCTCACCTGAAGAAAAAAACCTCTTCAGGTGAGTGAAGTTGGGCTACCAGCTCCAACACCCCTGCCAGCTGCTAGTACCAGCGGAAACACTGAAATCAGAGGAAGGTCAGAAATCTTCGCAAACCAGAAGCAGCAGACGTCTTAATGTTCTGAAACCTTATACTCCACGTTTGCAGACTAAGAAGCATGCGAAGGCATTATGAGCTCAGTGTACATTTCTGGAGGCTGCTTACTCCTGCTGTCTTCCCATCCTCATCCGGCGAGCCATTATGTGTATTGCTAATGAGAATGATATTTTAAAACTCTCCCCAGAGCGACGTTCTTCCAAACACTGTTTCAGCAGGTGAGACTCATGTGCCTGTAATCTAAGCATCTGATGGTCTTTCACAGTGCCTCCTGCGGAGTACGCTGGTGCAATTACTGGCAAATTAGACTTATCCTCGACCCCGCCCCGTCCCTCCCCATCCTCCGGGCAAGCGGGAATAAATGATGAGCCCGGAGCGGGTGTGCAGAAGGGTGAGCGCAGCCAGTTGACCGGAGCGCGAGGGGCCGTTGCTGGGCACCTCCTCCCAGTCCCCGCACCGCCTCCAGCCCGAATGACAGCGCTTCCCCCGGCTCCGGCTGGGGCTCGGGAGCGGTAGTGCCGCGCGAACAATCCCGGGCAGGGACTGACTCGCTGCTGGTGACATCACTCCCAAAGATACTCCCCCCTTCTGCCTTCACAAGGCATCTGTCCGTTTGTCCATTTCCGTCTGCTGCTGGAGAGAGCTTATCGCCGGCCGGGAGCAGAGTCGGGCACCAAGGAGAGACAGGACCTGGAGGACGAAGGAGAGCAAAGGCAACAAGGGAAGGAGGACCCTGGCAGGCGACAGAATGAAATTCAGTCCAGCGCACTACTTGCTGCCTCTCCTGCCTGCGCTGGTCCTCAGCACCAGGTGAGTCCAGGAGCGTGAGGGACCTTTAGCAAGGGGCGCTGCTGGTCGGTTGGTCCTACTGCAGATCACCTGTGGGGGGCAAGGACAGTCACTTAAGCTGTTTGCGTCCCCCACCTAAGTTAGAGGGTCCCTCTATTTTTAGGCTTCTGAAATCCTTTCAAGAGAGCAAAGCCCTTTTCTAGTTATCCCAGTCCTTAAAGTCTCAGTATCGCTCCCAGTGAGGGACCAAGAGCTTTCCCTTCCAAAAACACGTTCCCTCCAGCTCTGGTGATAGTAAAGGATAACACGCAGTAGCCAACCACAATAAAGGGCACAGAGAGACAAGGGGGGACTGTCACCAGGCAGTGTCTTTTCACTGGAGCTGTCTCAATAGTCACAAAGCTTTCTTCTCCCCCAAGTGTATGTGAAATTTTAAGGTTCAGAGAACCAGAGAAAAATAGTTAATCCCAGAAGATGGTAAACCCTGCACAAAAGTTCCTGGACTGGTACAGTACCGGTTTTTATGTCTCGAGGAGACTTAGTGGGAGGCATTTTCATTTGGTTGTCTTGTGAGAAGATGTAATTAAAGATCACATAAGGTGATTAAAAGTTAGAAGATACTCTCGGTGCTGATGCGGAGACCCCAGTCCGAAACAGTGACACATTGTACTTCATCACTGACCACAGATGGGACTTCAGGCCCCAGCACAGAGGGGCTATTTTAAGTGGAAGTTTAAAATACAGTGATTGAAAAGAGTTTTGTGACTCCCCACTGTTCATCAAGTCCTGAAGTTGGGGATGGGCTTGTGTTTCTCTTCCACAAGAGCAGCACAAGGGTGAACTGTTCCATTGCCCAGGACTGAGCCTCCATTCTGCATGCACTTAGCATCCTATTGGCAGCAACCTCTTCCCTTTGGCTACTATAAAATAAAATAACCCACACAGGATGAGATGCTTTTCAAGTCTATGTGAATGGAAACATTATCTGATTGTGTATCTGATGAAAAATGAAAGGGAGAGTAGAAGGGTTGTATTTAATTCAGAAATTAAATGTATGAAAAAAACCCTCATTATATATGAAAAATCAAGGCAGTGCAATTCGTGAGTCCATTCCTCATCTGCATATCTGCTTAAAGGCTCTTATGACCAAACTTTCCTGTTTAGTGTGAGGACATTTAGGGTTAGCCCCAGTAGTCGATGAACTTAGTCTTTCCTTGCAAACAAAGCCCAGGTGATTTTTTCAGACTAAAATAAAATGAGTTGTATTCTCTAATATCTCTGAGGCTTGCTGGTCACTTCGGCTCAAAAAAAATGTAGGTGATTTCAAAACCATTTTGCTACTCAGCATTATAATAATTTGCTCCCATCGCAAAGCTCATTTTAATATTTGAAGTTAGCTGTAAACCACTCAGTGCAAATTGGGCATTACAGTTATTCTTTGAAGTGTCTTGTCATTTACTGTGAACTTTTGTGTTGTGGTTTTATAAGTATTGGCGAAGTCTTCTAGAAAAAAGAAATTCTCAAAGTTTGATGCTAAAGTAGATACTTCTCAACATATACATAAAATAATGAATATTTAAACAATTAAAACCTAGACCAAAGTGATTTTTAAAGACATGGAAATCTCTTGTGTTTCAAGAGTACATTTATATTTAAGGATGCTGTACTTTAACTGGTTTAGAGAGCTCTAACATCTCTAGCTTCCAAAGTTTTAATGTGGTGATATAGTGCAAAGACAGGCAAAGAACCATCATCTTCCCTTTTATGAAAGTTTTAATTTTTAAGAATAATTTTTAAAGTAGTCAATGCCTTTATTACAACACATATTAGAATTAGTTAGTCCTAGACTACTTTAGATATGAAACTTCTTCGGTGTTGGTTGTACATGAAAATTGTGTCGGGTCTTTCAATTCTCCTTCTTACTTTCTCAACAGAGAGAGCAGGGTGGGCTTTAAAAAGTGAGCCTTTTTATAACCAGTGGCATGTCTCGTTATTGCAGTGCCTCCATTGCCATTTATTTCACTGGATATCCAGATTACTTTGTGACAGTGCACAAATTAAAAAATGAGTATGGTATTACCAGGATGTCATTTTGCAAGAAGACATTATGTGTTAATGGACTCTAACAGAAGGCCATTCTCGTAGCAACATTTAAGAGTCGTGTAGACATATGGTTAATGCGCAAGTTAGAGCCTAAGCTGTACGGGTTTGAGAGAACAGTTGCATTAGTAAAGGTGAGTTTATTGTCCTGCTGAGAAAAACAGTGTAGCTCAGCCATGGCCACCTGTGATGGTGGGTTTTCTAGCCAAAGACTTTTGTAAACTTAGTGTCTTACTCAGTGGTCCTATACGAGAAATAAATGGTGTTTCACATACTAAGACCATACTGAATGCATTAGCGGAGTGAGGCTCTTGCTAGATTTTCCTATGGTCTTTATCACTTGGCTGCAATCGTCCAGTTCTTTTTAAAGTGTAAGAAAAGTAGATCTGAGACTCTTGATGGAAAGATGTATCCGTTTCAACATCTCTTTCTCTAGGCCTACCCCTTTAATGCTTGCTATTATCTTTCCAATAGGTTTAAAGTTCAGTTCTGTTTTAAAATACAGGAATGTGTTCACTAAAACAAATGAAACTATTAGAGTTACTATAAGCAATGTTCTTGCACAGGGATGAAAACTCTAAAACAATTCTGCCTTTTAAATATGAGTTTGAATACCTTTCAGTTTGTGTTTGCTCCTTGTTCTCACCTTTTTATAACTTAAGATGCTGAAGCACAAAAATTCTGTAATTTTTTACCATAGTGAACGAGGTTGATGTTCTGAAAGAGAACTAAATGATCACCTTCCATAATAGCCAAGAATTAACCATTTTACTGGAAAACCCCATAGAATTAAAAAGAGCAGTTTAATTTTCTGGTGCATTGTCTCTTCTGTTCAGAAAATACACACACATTCAGAAAGTTCAAGTAATGTTATAATTAATGCAGTTAATAAAGAAGCATTTAACCTGTGTACAAATAAATGTGGTCAAAGAAAACAAAGGGTTGGTTTAATAGCGTCAGAGCAGAATGACTGCACTTCTACAGAATAGCTCCATTCTGTAGAAGTATTAAATTGCAAATCCAACGCAGGCAGCAATTCACTTCAGAAAGAAGTACTATAGGTACTGAAAGGAATAGTAGGGTAAAAAAAATCTTTAGAAGTTCCTGGTGAAAAGGGACCCATGGAGTGCTGGAGAAGCCTTGTGCTTTAGACTGCTGAACCTCTGTTCTTTTATGCTGTGATCCCACTCTTGATGCCCTTGGTTTATTGAGTTTTAAGTGACTTAATGGGGAGAGGAGCATGGCAGGGAAGGAGTCAAGGTCTACTGACTTCTGATGGCTTTCCTTCAAGCAAGAACTTTACGCAGATGGCTGCTTATAGTCCCCCCAATAGGAGTCACCTCACAGGTCTCTACTGGGCATTCTGATCAGCAGTCACACCACATGTTTACTTTGGAATCTACTGTAAGAGGGTACTATGTATAAAGATACCCCTAGCGCCTCTTGGCATCATGCATTTATCTGTCCTGAGAATCAGTTTGATTTATAGGATAAAGGAAAGGCAAACATTACAATAAGGTTATAATAAGCCCCAAAGTGGTTTTTTAAAAAAAATGTAAGCATACACATTTGATGTAGGAAGCATCCCCCAACTTTATCTGCAGTAACCTGGAATTATTTTCCCGATCTTGTACGAGTGTGTCTTGCCACATACACACATTTAATCTGACCCCACAGATGTTCTTTTGTGATAAGAATAAGCATTCTCTGTAATAGAGTTAGAGAAATGTCTTTCTAGGTTAAGAGGATATTAACAAACAACTGTCTTGACTTGTCAAATTTCAATTTTGGTCCTTAGTTGCCAATGTCCAATAGCAGTTTTTTAAGTGACTTATTTGGATATTACCTTTGTAGAGTAAATTCTCCTTATGGCTAATGAAAGGTAAACCTCAACCATTTATAGGTTGAGTGTGCCGTGGTCCTAGACCACTCTCTAGGCAATTGAAAGAAAGAACTTGACCTATCACCTACCTACCAGGAAGCAAAATTTACTGAAATTGGGAAGAGGTGTGTGGTTCTAATGGAATGATATTTTTTCACATGTGTTATGGGAGTGCTTGTGTTTGGGTGTGTGGTGTGTGGGTGTGCCTGCTTTTGACTGACTTCTGGAAGAGAATCCCTTTAAGAAATGGGGCCAAGTAATTAAATAACCTGATTATATAGATAATGTTCCACACAAAGTTTTCTTTGGAAAATCCAAAAAATCTGTTTTAATTTGTTGTTATAACCTTTAGAGATGTCTTTGATGTTTTCATTATCATGTGTAAAACTGTCTTCAATGAGTCAGTTTTGTACATGGCACCAGGGCAATATAACAATATATTAGTTACAAATACAAATCCTTATAATCTAGTCATGCACAGAAATAATTATGTATAATATAAAATTGGACAAGTAACAAGAAATATTTTAAGCAAAATCCCAAGTGTGAATAGAGGGAGTAAATAATACCAGTTAAGAAGTATAGCAAGTAACTTATGTTTTCCAAGAACAAGGAGAGAAATAACATTTTATAATTGACTTTAATATTGTACAACACTGGTTGGTTGTGTGATATTAGGAAAATTGCTTACCCTCTCTGTTTTTCTTACATAGAAAATAAAGCTACTTGTATAAACTACTCGAGAGAGTATGGTACAGACCAAGTGAGTTCATCTAGAAAAAACTTTACCATATTGCCTGGAACACAGTTAAATGCTCAAAAGAGTGAGACTGTGCAGCTATTACTATATTGTTATTTCTATTTTCATGAAATCTTTGTGCCTGTGATTGATCTGGGCATAGCAGAATGACTGAAAACTTGGACACAAAATCAATTGGATGACACAAATTTAACAAGACTCATCATCATTATCCAAAAGAAAGAATGTGTTAGCAAAGAGGAGAGGAAGCAGGAGCAGCAGTGAGGATTTCCTGGTAAC